TTTTGTAAGTGGGATAGTAATGTCTCTCTGAAGATGCAATAAACTGAAATATATAACACCAGGCACAGAGCAGCTGCACACTGATACTATTCTCTGATTCTGGAATCCTACAGATTTGAAAGCCTTGTTTTTATTTTGCCAAGGCTCTAGGACCCTTTCCTACATAACCTCTCCCCCAAACCCCTTCCCTATGACTCTCACCCCATCCAAAGCTCAAAAAAGGAGAAGACGAAGAGAGTGCAGGATTGTCTTCATCACATGAAGGTACATCAAAAAGTTCATGGTGGGATTCATATAACCTTTAAAGCCATTTTTCCTTGAACTTTTTGAAGTACCCTCATACAAGAGCCCGGAAGAGCTAGTCCTAAGGCTCCAGGCAGAAGCAGTGTAGTGAACAGACAGGAGCACTGGCTTTGGTGTCATAGTGGGTGCAGATTCCAGTCCCTCTGCTCACAGTCTGACTTTGGGCAAGCTTCATAATTATTTCTCCATGTCTCCTTTCATCAAGTGTAAGATGAGGCTGATGATATCATCTATTTTATACTTTGTTGTTAATTTGTGCAAACAGCTTAGAAATAGTACTTGGTACTTAGTAACTCAGTTCCTAGAGAGGGTCTCAGAGCAGGAGCCAACAAGGATTGCCTCTGTGACATGAGGGGAGTGAATGTTTTCTGATGTGCCCCATTGCCCTCACATCCCAGGAACCCATGCACTGCAGAGCACGTGCTAGATGGGACAAGGCAGGACCGTCAGTGGGTAGGTCCCATGTTCGTTCAGGATGCTGTCCTCTGGCTCTCCTAGAAGAAACTCCCCTGATAAGAGAAGTTAATCTTAGGCATGCTCTGCCTCCCTTAGGTCCATTGCTTCCATCACCAGGTGGCTGCAGGTAGGATGTGGACAGTATTAAATAAAACACACTGGAAACAATCTATAGTCTGCAAGGATTAGGTCATTAGTGAAGCAAGTACATCCTTACCAAGAATGAATGAAAGAGTTAAGCACAGCTCTGGACACAGGTATTTACCCAGGCTAATTGAGAAGATTCTTTGTAAAGCCACCCTGCTTGTTGTCCTAGCTCCTTGAGCTTAGTAACCAGGAATGAAAATGCATTTAATCTGGACCTTAAGTCCTTAATTACATTATGAATAAGAAAAACCTAGGGCTGACCCATGGCTCACTCGGGAGAGTGCGGTGCTGATAACACCAAGGCCACGGGTTTGGATCCCTATATATGGATGGCTGGTTAGCTCACTTCAGAGAGTGTGGTGCTGAAAACACCAAGTCAAAGGTTAAGATCCCCTTACCGGTCATCTTTAAAAAAAAAAAAAAAAAAGCTAAAACCACCTGCTATTTTTAGGGGAATTTGAATGAGGCAAAATTTTCCTTTTCCTTTTGTTTTGTTAGCACATTGACACAATATATTTCAAGTTGGGAATTGCAGGTGAAGGTATTAATTTTGGAGTGTGCAATCTTTGGGTAGTCATCAAAGAAACTCATTGGGAAAGGTGCTTGTGCATGGAAGTGTAAATTCCCCAAACCAAAGTAAGCAGACTCTTCCCAGGCAGCTGAACAAACTCACAGAAAATTGCTCATTGGAGCTTTACAGAGTATTGGATCAAACTCCTGAAATTTGCTTGCAAATTCCCTGCTGTTCTTTCCTGGGGCTCATGCAGATGCCAAGCACCTCCTGTGCTCAGTCAGGGAAGATCTGTCAGCTTCCATCAGTGTGAAGGAGCAGCCCAGTTAAGCAGGGACAGCACCCCGTCTTCCTAGTCCCCTTTCTGGTTCAGAGCTGGGGTGGGGGAGTGAAATGGGAAAAAGTCATCATCAGTATGGCGATGGCTGCCATTTTTTAACACTTTACCTAATCAAGGCATTGCCCTAGAGCATTTTATAATAAACTATGAAAGATGTACAATCATTATCCTCATTGCACAAAGAGGAACTCATGCTCAGAAAGGTTAATTTTCTTATCAAAGGTCACATAGCAAGGGAGTGGCAGAGGTGTAATTCAGTCCTGACTCTGAATCCAAAAGTCATCTTTCTACTGTACCTAGATCAGGGAAGCTCTGAGCCAGCAGGAAATTGGGAAAACAGGAAAATAGATGTCTAAAATCTAAGAAAGACAGTGTTTATTGCCAATGCTTACATCAAGTTATCAGGTGCCCTCATATGTTACAAGGGTTGCAAATGATGTGAATTCACCTAAAATCAAAGGTAAGTGGGTGCTAATACCGCTTGGCTTAGTAATCTCGAAGTGGAAGAAACTCTTTTAATGCTTACTGAGTTGAAGGACTCTTTGTTCTTTTAGTCATCTTTTCCTTCAAGAGCAATACTGAGGCTCTCTTTATCTAACCAGCATCTCTTTACTTGGCTTAATAATCTCGAAGTGGAAGAAACTCTTTTAATGCTTACTGAGTTGAAGGACTCTTTGTTCTTTAGTCATCTTTTCCTTCAAGAGCAATACTGAGGCTCTCTTTATCTAACCAGCATCTCTTTTCATGGCCTTCAGCCTACTCATGATTTTCAGAGAAAAGAGAAGACAATACCAAACCAAACCAAACAACAAACAGAAAAACCAAAACCACAGCCCCTGGGTTCTCTCTCTAGTCCCATGAACATTTATAACAATTTACTTCAGAAAAAGAGCCACTGTGGAGACCCAGCTCTACCTTGTGCTCCAGGCTGGAGTCTTTAAACATCAGTGAGAATGGCTTGATATGCTCTCTTCTCAATTTATCACCACTCCGCAAGTCGATGGTATGTTCTATTCTCTTGTTAATTTCCTCAGGCCCAGACTGGACATGCAAAGCTTGTGCAAGATGGTTTGGAAGCAGATTTATTGAATTTCTTGTTAGAGCAGCCAGAGTCTAGGGGGAAAGCACATGCAAACACAATAAACCTGCTAGTCCCCTTTGAATCAAAAAGAAATGCAATGTTTTAGATCATGTTGCTTTGCAAACAGTAATAGCATTGCATGCAGTTGTATTCAGTGAAACCTACAGAAGTTGATCGGTTAGAATTTGGTTCAGAGAAACACAACTTTGCAAAATATCACACCAAGAGGGACACTTCCTCTTTCTCAATGTAGGTGCACTGAATTCCTTTGAGATATTTGGAGAGTTGTTGGATTAGAAATGTTAATTAAGACCCTTTCTCTAACCAGGCATATCCCAGAGAAAGGGAACCAAACAAATAACAGAAAGTAAATATATCTGAAAAGCCCACAAAAATGATCATCTCCAACTGAGTTAGATTCCACATTTTCGTGCGGTCTTTCATTTAATGGTAATGGAGAGACTCGGGGTTCCATGGCTTGCATTTTTTTTTTAGCATTCTCCTTAGATAGACAGACAAATATGCCAGGATCTGCTCCTTAAACTTGATAAAGATTGTTAAATTTGTGCACTTCACAAATATGTCCCCCTTCCACATAGACCAGTAGATAGATATAGACAATTCATATAGATATGTACGAAACTCTATACATTCATATAGATATGTGCGTAATTTCCTTTAGGCAAAAAATGCAAGCAGTTGCAGCCTCCCACCATTTCACGGGGTTAAACAGCAGGAATTGGGGAAAGGTAAAACCACCGCAGCTGGTAATTGGGTATGGACACTTGGATGGAAAATTGCATTGGCTTATGAAGACACTCCGGGTTTGTCAGGGAGACCTTGTCTCCTGGTGAGTCAGCAGCAAGTGATAAGATCAACTGGCTGGATCTAGCCAAATGCAATGCTCACTCACAGTTCCAATTTAAGACAAAAATAGTGTGAGTTGGACTTGAAGAGAAATAGGGATAAGGAAGCCCATCCTATACCCCCAAGAGAAGTCCTTGAAGGGAGGCATAGGATGCAATACGTCTGCAGGGTGAGGAAGTGGAAACTCCCTGTCTCTGTGCACTCACCTCATCTGCTTTCCTTGACCAGCCTTTCAGCCTGGCTGTGTTTAGAACACAGGATAGATTGATATAAAATTACGGAGTCATCAAATGACAGAGGACCCTGGAGATCCCACTGCCTGAACCCCTATATACTGATGAGCCTCAGAGAGACTTGCTCAAGAGCCATCAGCTCATTAGCATCTGGGCCAGATCAGCTGCTCCAGGGCCAGAGCTGGAGTCAGGGGCTTTGACCTCTGTGAAGCCATCCAGCCCATCCCATAAGGATTCTTCCTATGCTATTGTTGGATCCTTCATTTTAACTTTCATAGAGATAGTCAATGTAACCTAAATCTGAGGTCTCTAATGAATTCTACAGCAGGAACTCATCACTGTTAGAATTTATTGAAACTCTTCTTCAGATCCAGGATGAAGGTCTGAGTTGCATGTGTCTACATGAGAAAGCAAAGTATATGCTCTCAGGGGACTGAAGCAGTTAATTTCAGTGCTGAGAACCAAGAAGACTACTACAGAGAACTAGACAGATGTTAGGGGTTGGTGTGGCAGGATGAGAGGCAAGAGAAGGGATGAAGCAGAGAGAAGGAAGCAGGGACGAATGTTTCAGAAAACGGGACAGGAGGATCCATGTGGGATCAGAGAGAGGGTTTAGCCTCTGGGACTAAATGCTGTTTGAACAGCATCTCCAAAACCAGAGGAAGCTGGACTGTTAGCCACTCGAAGNCTCATATGTTACAAGGGTTGCAAATGATGTGAATTCACCTAAAATCAAAGGTAAGTGGGTGCTAATACCGCTTGGCTTAGTAATCTCGAAGTGGAAGAAACTCTTTTAATGCTTACTGAGTTGAAGGACTCTTTGTTCTTTTAGTCATCTTTTCCTTCAAGAGCAATACTGAGGCTCTCTTTATCTAACCAGCATCTCTTTTCATGGCCTTCAGCCTACTCATGATTTTCAGAGAAAAGAGAAGACAATACCAAACCAAACCAAACAACAAACAGAAAAACCAAAACCACAGCCCCTGGGTTCTCTCTCTAGTCCCATGAACATTTATAACAATTTACTTCAGAAAAAGAGCCACTGTGGAGACCCAGCTCTACCTTGTGCTCCAGGCTGGAGTCTTTAAACATCAGTGAGAATGGCTTGATATGCTCTCTTCTCAATTTATCACCACTCCGCAAGTCGATGGTATGTTCTATTCTCTTGTTAATTTCCTCAGGCCCAGACTGGACATGCAAAGCTTGTGCAAGATGGTTTGGAAGCAGATTTATTGAATTTCTTGTTAGAGCAGCCAGAGTCTAGGGGGAAAGCACATGCAAACACAATAAACCTGCTAGTCCCCTTTGAATCAAAAAGAAATGCAATGTTTTAGATCATGTTGCTTTGCAAACAGTAATAGCATTGCATGCAGTTGTATTCAGTGAAACCTACAGAAGTTGATCGGTTAGAATTTGGTTCAGAGAAACACAACTTTGCAAAATATCACACCAAGAGGGACACTTCCTCTTTCTCAATGTAGGTGCACTGAATTCCTTTGAGATATTTGGAGAGTTGTTGGATTAGAAATGTTAATTAAGACCCTTTCTCTAACCAGGCATATCCCAGAGAAAGGGAACCAAACAAATAACAGAAAGTAAATATATCTGAAAAGCCCACAAAAATGATCATCTCCAACTGAGTTAGATTCCACATTTTCGTGCGGTCTTTCATTTAATGGTAATGGAGAGACTCGGGGTTCCATGGCTTGCATTTTTTTTTTAGCATTCTCCTTAGATAGACAGACAAATATGCCAGGATCTGCTCCTTAAACTTGATAAAGATTGTTAAATTTGTGCACTTCACAAATATGTCCCCCTTCCACATAGACCAGTAGATAGATATAGACAATTCATATAGATATGTACGAAACTCTATACATTCATATAGATATGTGCGTAATTTCCTTTAGGCAAAAAATGCAAGCAGTTGCAGCCTCCCACCATTTCACGGGGTTAAACAGCAGGAATTGGGGAAAGGTAAAACCACCGCAGCTGGTAATTGGGTATGGACACTTGGATGGAAAATTGCATTGGCTTATGAAGACACTCCGGGTTTGTCAGGGAGACCTTGTCTCCTGGTGAGTCAGCAGCAAGTGATAAGATCAACTGGCTGGATCTAGCCAAATGCAATGCTCACTCACAGTTCCAATTTAAGACAAAAATAGTGTGAGTTGGACTTGAAGAGAAATAGGGATAAGGAAGCCCATCCTATACCCCCAAGAGAAGTCCTTGAAGGGAGGCATAGGATGCAATACGTCTGCAGGGTGAGGAAGTGGAAACTCCCTGTCTCTGTGCACTCACCTCATCTGCTTTCCTTGACCAGCCTTTCAGCCTGGCTGTGTTTAGAACACAGGATAGATTGATATAAAATTACGGAGTCATCAAATGACAGAGGACCCTGGAGATCCCACTGCCTGAACCCCTATATACTGATGAGCCTCAGAGAGACTTGCTCAAGAGCCATCAGCTCATTAGCATCTGGGCCAGATCAGCTGCTCCAGGGCCAGAGCTGGAGTCAGGGGCTTTGACCTCTGTGAAGCCATCCAGCCCATCCCATAAGGATTCTTCCTATGCTATTGTTGGATCCTTCATTTTAACTTTCATAGAGATAGTCAATGTAACCTAAATCTGAGGTCTCTAATGAATTCTACAGCAGGAACTCATCACTGTTAGAATTTATTGAAACTCTTCTTCAGATCCAGGATGAAGGTCTGAGTTGCATGTGTCTACATGAGAAAGCAAAGTATATGCTCTCAGGGGACTGAAGCAGTTAATTTCAGTGCTGAGAACCAAGAAGACTACTACAGAGAACTAGACAGATGTTAGGGGTTGGTGTGGCAGGATGAGAGGCAAGAGAAGGGATGAAGCAGAGAGAAGGAAGCAGGGACGAATGTTTCAGAAAACGGGACAGGAGGATCCATGTGGGATCAGAGAGAGGGTTTAGCCTCTGGGACTAAATGCTGTTTGAACAGCATCTCCAAAACCAGAGGAAGCTGGACTGTTAGCCACTCGAAGTCTTTAACATTGGTTTCTTGGGCAGAAATTCTTTCCACACAGCTTTTTTTGGACTGATTTACTTAAATTACAGTAGCAGCAGCCACTGTAGTGGCGGTTATTATAATCACAGCTCTCTAACATAACCATTACTTCAAAAAAGACTGGACATTTTTTTTNTAAATGCTGTTTGAACAGCATCTCCAAAACCAGAGGAAGCTGGACTGTTAGCCACTCGAAGGCTTTAACATTGGTTTCTTGGGCAGAAATTCTTTCCACACAGCTTGGAAAATAATAAAACTTAGTTTTCTCTCTTGGAGAGAAGGTGAAAAGGACACTCAAACTGCCGTGTCTGGGCACACCCTCTGGCTTAGGGATGCCGGTGCTCCCTGGTAAGTGCTTGGAGCTGGAGTCTAATAGCTGGAGATGAAATCGCTACAATGTCTATTTACAGTCATAGTTAGGAATCTCTATTGCTTTCTGCAATTTTTATTTTCTTAAAGTTTTCCTTCTTTGAACTAAATATCGCTTAACCGTTCTACCAGTCCTTCATACCTTTGTTGGCTGTAAGACGTTTGGATTTCCACAGGTCAGGGGAGTTTCAAAAAATATTTTTTTGGACTGATTTACTTAAATTACAGTAGCAGCAGCCACTGTAGTGGCAGTTATTATAATCACAGCTCTCTAACATAACCATTACTTCAAAAAAGACTGGACATTTTTTTTCCCAACAAGAATGATATAATCTCAGAATAAAAGACAGGTCTTTACATTGAATACATTTAATTCAATGAATAACTCTCTACTTTTTCCTTATTTTCCTCATACTGATGTGAACTGGTGAAAATGTCATCAGGGCCTAACACTGGTCTGTAGAAGACATTTGAAATCTAGAAATAGGCATTGCTTCCTGGATGCCTGCAATTTATAACAGTTGACCATTCAGAGAAGGATTCTGCTGCCATTGGCCACTTCTGTAGGGCAGAGACCAATGAAATCTCCTTCCAGAACTTCCTGACTTCGCAATACATTCTATTGGCTGTCTGTGGTTGCTTCAGATGGGAGAGATTTGAAAGCACCCCTCTTTCTTTCATCCCTTCACCAGGTTACAGTTAATAGCTGGGGAAGAGCCCTTTCATCAAAACGTCAGTGATATTGTGGTGGAGAATTTTTTTCTTGTCTAAGCAGTTATTTTTATTCCTTACAATTATATCCCTAGTAGTTTATGCAGGTAGTCAATTCTCAGTATTCTTTTTTCTGATGTTTGCTCTGTCAATTACATACAACAATTACATACGACAATTACATGTGCTGTTTAATCAACAATCCCTCTAGCATCACCTCATCCCTTCAGGGCATATATGCTTAAGGGAAGACTAGCTTCAACTCAAGAAGGCAAGCAAATTGAAATTAGGAAGGGGCATGGGGAAATCATCTGCTTTCATTTACCCCCAATGCATCACAAAGCATACATGACTTTGGGAGAAATTATGGCTTGGGATTATCTGTGATACCCCTTTCTCTCCATTAGTAATGGCCAGTAAGATTTGACTGTGTGGGCACGTTCAGTGGGCTAATGCTGCCAACACCAAAAATCCATGCACTGATATATTCACAATGATTCATTTGTAAGCAGTACTGGGTTGAAATGTGTAACATGCCTTATTTCCCTACTTAGAGTCAAACTAAAATGAGCTATTTTTTTAATAGAATAGGGCTTTCTCTTTTTAAGACTTACAGCACCAGTATGAGCAAGATTATGGCAAAAAATAGCACAAGCTTTAAATATGATTCCAATCTTAAATTGACCTCCAAACTGTTGAGACAGTTCTTTCACATAAACAAATTAAGCAATTGGCAAGAGAATAGAAAAACAAATGAATAAAATGGAAGGAAAAGGGAAATGCCATGAGAAGAATTGTAATTGAATACATATATTTGAATATATGCTTCAATGTATAACTGAAGTACATATTACATTTATATGCAATAAAAAATATATTCATTTATTTACTTTAGCTGGTGTTTTCAGATATTTGGGAGGTCAGATTGGAACAGTAATGTTATAAAAAAATATGTTATAAATAAATAATGCTGTTTATTTATTTTAGCTGGTGTTGTAGATTTTGGGAGATCAGGTTAGAGCAGCAGAAATGTCTAAATTTGTGGCCGAGATGGCCTCTCATGACCGAGTTTCTACATAAAAAAGATTTTGCAGCCCCTGGATTTATCTTGACTGAGATGCATGCTCTCCTCAGGTATTTCAGAAATTACTTCCTCCCTCACAGGTACTTGAGACAGATCAAAGCTCAGATGAGAATCAGTGTCCCTTCTGAACCCATATTTCTGAAGACAGGGTCTTACCTGAGAGTCTGGGGGGGGGGTCTGGTGAAAATTATGATCAGAGGGTCTGGGTAGCCCTTTTGCAAACTGCATTTGAATGGGGGAAGTCATTAATCCTCTTCAGCCCATCATTTAATTTATGACCTTCAGAAGACTTTTCTTTGGGACTCATCTTTTATCTATGTGTCCACTGAAAACCTACTTTCCCTACAGGCCCTAGCATTTCATGGATGGCCAAAAACTTTGGTACTCACTTATCAGTTTGTCACAGTGAATGAAGGTGTACTGTCTAGATACATCCAGTTTTGTAGAGTCAAACCCACCTTAGCTCTTGTGGATGACGTATTCCAATATCAAAACACACTGTAAAGCATCCCCGTGGACACTGTAAATCAGTGCTCTGTTTCATTACTAGATCCTCCTAATTCACCCTTTCTCAAAAATGTGTTCCAAGAAATACAAGAATGCTGGGATGCTTCATTACAAAAAGACTCTGTGGGCCAGTCAGTTTAGAAAATGTGGGCCCATTATTTGTTTATTGTCGTGTCTCCTCACCAGTGTCCATGAGAGAAGGGACTTTGTCTCTTTCGTTTGTTTCTTTGTCCCCAGTGCCTATTCCAATGCCTGATATTTTGTAGACACTCAGTACATGTTTACTGAATGAAACAATTCTTATATCCTTCGAGTGGGATCTCACAGTACACTTTACTGAGATAAAGGCACTGATCAGTTCTGCAGAAATGAGACTCTTAAACTTCACTTTCCAAACTTGTTTTGACTGCACAACCCCTTTTCCTGAATTACTTCTACTTGTTCCATAGAACACCACTTGGGAAACAGTATTTCAAAGTTTTTCCCTGCTTTTATTCACAATTCCAGTTACTGAACTTGTTGCTGACCTCTGAATTAGATCTGTTTATATG